GGGAGGGGGGAGTCTGTCTGTATGTGAGTTTTGAGTGAGTCTGTGTGTCTGTCTGTGTGTGTGAGTGTATGTCTGTGTCTGTATGTGTCTGTACGTGTGCTTCTGTGTGTGTGTGTCTGTATATTTTTGTGTGTATGTGAGTGTATGTGTGTGTCTGTGTGTTTCTGTGAGTCTGCATGTGTGTGTATGCGTGTGTGTGTGTGTGTTTGTAAGTGTCTGTGTGTTTGTGTGCATGTTTGTGCGTCTGTCCATCTGTATGCGTATAAGCCTGTGTGTGCATGCGTGTATGAGTGGGTTTTTGTGTGTGTGTGTGTGTGTGTGTGCGTGTGCGCACGTGTGTTTGTCTCTCCATCAGTACGTACATAAGCCTGTGTGTGCTCATTAGGCTAATGTGTAAGAGTGTGTATGAGTGTTTGTGTTATAATCTGTGTTTTAGTGCGCGTGCGTGTCTGTATGTCAACTTGAGTCTTTATGAATTTGTGTGTGTGTGTGTGTGCGTGTGTCTGTATGTATGTATGTATGTATGTGTGTGTGTGAGTGTGTATGTCTTTCTGTGTATGTGTGTGTGTGTGTGTGTGTGTGTGTGTGTGTGTGTGTGATTATGTGTCTGTATGTGACTGCGTGAGAATGTGACTGTATATCTGTGTGTGTGTGTGTGTGTGTGAGTCTGTGGCTGTTTGTGTATATATGGGAGTGTGTGTCTATGTGAGTGTGTCTGTGTGTGTATGAGAATTTGTGCCTGTGCATGTTTGTGTTTATTTGTGTGTGTGTGTGTGTGTGTGTGTGTGTGTGTGTGTGTGGGGAGGGGGGGGGGAGGAGATCATACCCAGGACGAGAATCACTGTGTTGGTAAGACAATAAAAAGGCGTTCTGTCCGAGTTTTCCTTGAAAAACGCCTTTGAACAAGAACGCCTTTTTTTCAGATTTTGCTGACAGAACGCCTTTTTTCCAGAGCCTTGGGAGAGAAAAAGGCGTTTTGTCAGCGTAACCATTTAAAAAAGGCGTTCTTCAAAATTTTGATAGTCAATTTTTTCAAAAACTAGTCACAGCTTCACTTTGATTTTTTCACACAAGTAGGGTAACAGATCAGACCTATCGATTTAGCAAATAAAAAATGTTCGTGCCAAAATGTTTAAAAAGGCATTTTGTTAGCTTACAGTAGACTTCCCTTAAGCCTTGCCATATTGTGGCTTACATTTCGCGGACTCAGTACCTTGTTTTTTTTTGTATAATTCAAGTATAGGAGAACCAGGGCTTGAGAAGCGACTATTTATAAATATACTAACATATACATACGATTTAAGTTTTATTTCTTAAATACTCTTGATCTCTTATACACCAAGAGTACATAGTGTTTATAAGAGTGTGAGAAAAGTTTATAAGATTGCAGGGAGGATTTATAAAGGTGTAAAAAAAAAAAAATATATATATATAATATATATGCAAAAAAAAAATTGTTTCTACTTCACACATTTTCTGAATGTAACCCCTATGATAATCCACTGAATATCACAATCATGCCTGAAGACTGCCTAGCATTAAAATAATCAGAAATAAATACAATTATCAAGGATGTTTCTAAATTTTTTTGACGCGGTCACCGAGCAAGCATCTCCAAACCTCAAAAAAATATTTATGGTATTTATATTACTGATGCATTGTATGAGATAATACCTAAGAGTATATGATCTAGGTACCTTGTATTTGAGATCCTCCGGAGCCAGAGCAAACTTGGATAAAGTGAGATCACCAGCGACATCATCATAAGAGTAAGGGTGGGTGGAGAAGTCACAACTTGCCATAGGTACACGTCCAACAGTGTATTCAATGCCTGTGTTAGTGGAAGTTGAAAGAAACATTGCTGCCTGCTTGAACATGGGACTAAACTTAAAGATATATAATTTTGAAACATGCATAAAAAGATGATATTGTTGACAGAATTTATATGGGTCCAAAGATGTTCAATATAATGTCATATATGTAATGTAATACACACAACAGCCAACATACCATCTTTTGCAAAATATGATGAAATAAGTTTTTTTTGTGCATCACTTGGCAAGCTTGCAATATTGATTCCAGCAGCATCTGTAAATGCACCACCAAATCCTATGATCTTTTGTCTCCTTGTCTTGGTGTCGATTTTGAATACAGCTGAAAAGGAAATCAAAATTTGTGAACATTCAAATTCAACAACTTTTTTCTACTTTTCAACCCCAAATTCCCTGGAACTGAATTCTCACCTTTGAAAAGACCATGATTTGTTTAGTAAAATGGTAAATTAATCTATAATTCTTATGGTGCAAACCTATGCCATATTTGTAGAAGAAACCCACACATTCTTCACCTCCCAAAATTTAAGAAAGTTAGCATTCAATATTCCTTGGAGTTTGATGGAGCTATATTTTCTTGAATTTTAGCCTACGGATTTATAAAACTGAGAGTTTCAATTCCTGTGAATCGTTATGGCATACTCCAGAATTGAGCCATTACTTTCCAATTCCACCTCAAAAACATGTGAGCATCCGCTCTTCAGTTTTGATTCAAAGCTTCAGCGATAAAAGCAAGTCAAGTGTGTGTCGGTGACACAGCACTTAGAGGGGGTGGTCACTGGAGTGTGTCCTTGAGCAACATACAATAATCCAGGCTCAAAAACAAGGTGCTGCACATTTAGGACTAGTAATGATGTGTGCATTGTCTAAGTTTGTGTATTATTCATGCATTTAGGTAGTATTATACTTGTATTTTATATATGTGTGTGTGCCTAGAGAAAGGTACCAAAAGTCGCCACAGACTATATTGAGCTACAGGCTGAAAATGACCCCCCAAAAAATCACTTTTTCGACCAAAATGTGTTTCCATAAAAAAAATTATAAAGTTTCACCATTTTTTAACAATGTGTTAAAAGAGTTTTCAATGATTTGATTTCTAAATATTTTATTTTGAATTATTTTGAGGGTAGGGTATGTTTTAAAAAGATAATGAAAAGGTGTTAAAATCTATTCTTGGAGCATGTTTTCTCTTCCCCGCTATGCTTTACCACTGAATTTTAATTATGATATTGATGTCAACTGAATGCCCAATTGGAAATGAATTTTCCATGAATAAATACATTAGAAACAATTGAATAACAGTTTTTTTCCAAGTTTATATGTTTTCTAAACTTAAAAGCTATTTTTTTTCAAAATTAGATCGTTGTACCCTACCTCGCAAAATGTGCAATACCTCAAAAACTACTTGAGGTATCTCAAAAATTACAAAAACTACTGTGTTCAGCATTGAAAGTCCTATGAGGTACAACCTGTAACTCAAAATGGTTAAAATCCGACTTTTGGTACCTTTCTTTAGGCACACACACACACACACACACACACATATATATATATATATATATATATATATATATATGCACATAATTAAGTAGTATATATGATTGAAAAATAAATTTCCCAAGGAGATCAGTTAAATCGAATTCATGAAAAGTTTGTTTTGCTTTGTTTTTAATTTAATAGCCCTATATTCTAAAAAAGACTGCAGTTAATTAGTTACGACTTTAGTGGTGGTCGAAAACATTTCATAATGACCTTAGTAGGCTGTCATGCTAAGGACACTCGGTCAGCTTGTAACATACATCATACACCAAAAATATTTATTCTCTTAATAACTGTGAATTATGTTGGCTAGTAAGTTGAAAACCCCAAAACAAATATGAGTTCTATGACAACAACAATAAAGACAAGTTTTTTCACTGGCACTATTTATCTCTTGTGAGGCATATTAACAAATCAAGTAAAGATAGTGATGTACCCCAGTACTCACAAATTCTAATTTTGACGAAAATACTTAGTTGAACTTTATGAAAGACTGGCAATGTGCTACAAAAATAAACAAGAAAAGAACAGATTGCACTATTCTTACTGACCACTTTTGGAAACATTCACGGCCTTCAGCACTTTCTTGTCAAGTCTTAGTCCATTTCTTGACGTGGTGAACACAATGTATTGACCTTTGGGAACAGGCTCCACTGTGGGAGTGGTATCACAATACGAAGAGTTGCAGACGCACACTTTATGTTCAAAGCTCACGCTTCGAAGAGAACATTTTACATCTGAGGAAGACAGGAAAACATCAGCAAAACAAAGAGGCATGAAAGACTGAGGTTCATGTCAAAGGCAATCTTTTATGAACTGAACTGCAAGATGCATTTAAATGATTAAAAAAATTAATACACAGTTCTATGACAACAACAAAAACGACAAGCTTTCCCACTGGCAGAATTTATCTCTTGTGAGAAATATATACCGGTATATTATAAGGCCTGCTTTATTTCTCCGAACGCTTGGGAAAATAAAGCCTGGGGGAGAGGCAAGAAAAGAAAGCGGAGGGGCGGGGGAGAGGGGGGAGAGACAAAAAAAAAGGGGGTTGGGAACCCTCAACTTGTTTGAAAACATGTAAGGGGCAAAGGCACATGCACAAAAAAAAAAAAAAAAAATGTGAAGAGCCAGTGGAAACAGGCGGGAAATGTGAGTACAGTAATTCCTACAACCGGTCGGGCGGCATAAACAGGCAGATCCAGTCGTGATCCCCAAGGGCACTGATTATGCCTGCTTGTCTCCGGCAGCTTTTACTTCTTTTTCTCTGTCTCTGCTGGTTCCTTCTCAGTGTTTCTCTCTGGGTTTTCTGTCTGGCTGTCTATTTGACTGGCAGTCTTCATCTGTCAGCCTGTCTGTCTGTCTGCCTGCCTATCTGTCTGTCTGTCTCTCTTTGTCTATCTCTCTCTCTCTCTCTCTCTCTCCTATTTTCTCTCTTATTCTCTCTCTGTTTCTCTATCTCTTTTCTTTCTTTCTCACTCACTGTCGTTTTCTCTCTCTCAGTCTCTCTCTCTCCCTCCCACTCCTTCTCTCTTTCTCTCTGTCTGTCTCTTTCTCTCTCCCTCTCTCTCTTTCTTTCCCTGTTTTTCTCTCGTTCTATGTCTTTATTTCTTCATCCCCCCTCTCCATTGCTCCTGTCAACTCAAGCCGTCCACTGCACATGTACTTATCTTTTTATCTTTGTTTTGCTCGCTCTCTCTCTGTTTCTCTCTCTCTCTCTCTCTCTGTCTTTCTTTCTGATTCTCTTCATCTCCCCCTTCCTTACACCGTTCATATCAAGTTATGTTTGAATTCGATGAAAAAAAATGCTTCTTCATAGTCCTCGCAGAATGGCAGTGCTGAACTCTCGCAAATAACCAAAAAAATCTTGAGAACGGAAACCATTAGGAGACATAGAGGTCAAGTTTATTTTCCCGAGCGTTCAGAGAAATAGTCACTTCAATTTTATAGTTTCTGTACATCTTTCATTTTGTCTATATAAGCAGCTGAGGTATCAAATAAAGCTGTCCAAAACAAGCGGCTGAAAGAGACCTGGACATCTGCTGACCAAAAATATGCTTTTCTGACACGACAACACTACTTTTCCCACAGAGAATGTGACTGAAGACTACTGAACCCGTTCACAAGGCTAGAAGAAAGTATTACCATTCACACATAAGTCATTCATGATCTTGCTCCATGAAACTTTCATAAATCTAGTTATAAGTTGGTCATGACAAGCTCCACCTTCTTTTCAGCTCACATGACGCCAAGTTATTAGATTAATGAATGTTATCCACACTAAGTTACTGTCAAAATTTTGGTACTGTCCCTGAAGAGTTTCATCTATTCGGACTCCGGTCCGAAAAAAATGTTTATTTATTCGGACTCGGCTTCTAAGTGAGTTATGTGAATGTAAGGTGGTTACATAATATAACTGGGGGATTTTACGAAAAACCAGAATTAGAACTAAAATTACCTACTAGGACTGTGTAATTGTGTCACAAGTAAAAAAACTGCACTCTCACTGCCCAATGGCAATGTCTAAGTACATGGTGACCGACAACTCAGGGTCTTTCCACCACCACTACAGCATCATCATTACCGGTACTTCCACCACCATTTGTTTTTCCACATGTTTAATTTCATTTTGTTGCGTGTTATAGCGTTTCTGTAATAAAAAAAAAAAAAATCACATCGTACAAAATCGACAGTTGTGGCCTCTTCCCCCAGCAAAGCCAAGAGTGCGTGATCGATACGCCCAATCTCATTGGTCGACATAATCAACTTTGCCCCCGGCAAGGTCAACTCAACTTGGTTATTCTGTTCATACTAATGATGCAGGGAGGGCCAGTTTAGATAGATCTAGTAGCTGAATTATATTAAAGTTCACATCTCGATTGTTATCATTACAATCGAAAAATTTTTCATAAATGCTGGATATATTTAGGAACAAGGGTCGGAAGTCGGATCAGACGTCATGCTGGTAGAGTTGGGGTGAGTGGACGGACGGGTTCGTTACTCTCGGACTCAGTCTGAGGGAGCGGGTAACGGACGGCCATGCGAGCGAACTGCGAACCTCAAGACAGTTTGTTTTTTGGGTCCACTTTACAATTTGACTCTCTCAGCGAGCAGACTGCGGACCTCAAGCCTCAAGTCAGTTCGTTCTTTGGGTCCGCTCCACAATTTTATTCACTGAGCGGGCGGGCGAATGGACGAGCTCTAGCAGACGAGATACTCGACGCGAGATTAGACCCATCGTCTATTGTTTGTTAATTAGGCCTAATGTTTCAAGCCACTAGCGGTGCCGCAGAGAGTGAGAGAAGCTGATGACGTAGTACTATGTGTGTAACCTTTCACCTTGTGTGTGGGAACACTGTTTACATTTCAATTATCTGGAAGTGGAAGCTTAAAGAATTCCAAAAGGCCTTATTTGGGGGGGGGGGGGGGGGGGTAAAGAAATTTCTGCCATGAACGCCTAGCTACAATGTGGGGCAAGACGGTGATTTTTTTTCCGGGGGGTGTAAGTAGTATGCAATGAAGGACTTGCTCCCCGTCCGTCCGTCTACCTGCTCAAATGCATGGAGTCTCTCCGTCCGCCCGCTCGCTAAACGAACTGTTGTCTCTGTCCGATGTGTAGAGAGTAGAAAACTACTCTTCACAAGCCAATGGCTCGTTACCCTTCCGCTCGTTTGCGGGTAGTGCAAGCGAGTAGTTCGTTACTCGCGGATGCTGATTTAGCGAGCCCGACCCAACTCTACATGCTGGACTTTCAGAGTCTGAATATAATTTTTGTCTAATCGGACTCGAGTCCGAACAGTCACTTTGTTACTTTTAGTTAGTTTTAGAAGACTTACTTCTACTAAGGCCACCTTTATTCTCATCCCTGGTGAGAATAGCTCAAGACACGCTATTCTCACCCCCCACCCCGGTGTGAGCATGAGGCAAGCCTTAATGTTCTTAAAATTAGGCTAGATCTTGATCTATAATTGTGAGGACCCATAGGTATCAGCTGCGTTCTGCTCTTGACACTTCATCCTTGTATAACTATAGATCTAGATCTAGACTAGCCTAGATTTCTTATGGCTGGTGAGAATAACCACTCCTCTACGCACAGCATCTAGGCTATGATTACGGCCCTCCACTTCATATAATAAGCTAGGCTTTGTAAGCGGCACATAAACTATCAAACCGGACACTACAAGTGGACAAAATTAAACCCGGGAAGCGCATAGGCCCTATATATAGGGCTGACCTACTTCGATTGGGAAGCAGGCAGCTATATCTATAAAGGGCATAGACGCTGACCTTTTTCAATGGAAAATTTCAGCATTCCTTATATGAAAAATGACGTAGTAAACTACAGGTCAAAGTTATAAATAGTGACCAATGACGTTGCAAGTTATCTTGACCTCGTAGAGCATCTCTTGGCCAAAGATCATACATAAAACAAAATCGTTCACTCTGCCAAAAAGGTGTCCGTGGAAGTCCGGGCAGTGGTTCAGATGACGCTGCAGTCTTTGCTTTGAAGCTCACTTTTGCTTCTCTAGAAGAAGAATAGGAATAGCACAGTTTGCTAGTTACACTTTTATTATTAATTTTCACACAACTACGGTAACTCTAATTGCAAAGTCCGCACTTTTTCGAAGAGGGCGCCATCGAATTTTGAGGACACTTTTTTAATTGGGAGTGTATACAGACTCCAGTAACCGGGAACAAAGTAACGAAGTATACAGAAGGGGAAATCTTTTGTGATTTCGGAAAGTTTCAGCTCCCTCTTGGCTCAGGGTAGACCTAGGTTCTTCTAGATCTATGGCCTAGGTCTAGATCTAGACAGACAGACATAAATCATTGATCCAGTTTCAAGGCCTAGATCTAAATGAGAAGATAGCGGATGTCTTTTCGATGAACGATCGTTTTTCCTCCGTTTTGGAGTTGGAGGAATCAGTATAAGACAATTCAAAGAAACGAACAATGTCATAATTTCAATCAAGCAGTCACCCTCTCTATTTCTGTCTCCCCCCCCCCCCCTCTCTCTCTCTCTCTCTCTCCCCCTCTCTCTCTCTGTTTCTCCTCTGTGTATTGCTCGCCTTCTCTTTCCCCTTGTTTGTCTCTGTCTTTCTTTCTCCCCCACCTACTTCATTCTATCTTTCTCCCGTTCCCTCCTGTAAACTGGGGCATGTGACATGTGTTTGCTAGCACTTACCCCTGTTCTCTACCCCCTCCTTTCTCTCTCTCTCTCTCTCTCTCTCTCACATAGACACACACACACACACTCTCTCTCTTTCTCTAGCTACCGGGTCTGGGCGCTGAAACTTTCCGAAATCACAAAAGATTTCCCTTACCGGGTATACTATACTTTGTGACTTTGTTCCCGGTTACAGGGTCTGTGTATACACTTCGTTTTTAATTGGTTCAAATAGAATAGAGGAGTGAACTATCTTGTTATATATATATATATATATACACACATATATATATATATATATATATATATATATATAATAATAATAATAATAAATAGCATTTATACTGCGCATTTCCATTTCCTAAAAGATGCTCAATGCGCATTACAATGAAAAAGACATCACATCTTAAAAATTAATCGACACAAATGTGTACGTAAAACAAAGTATTATACATATAATATAAATGCATATGTGTAAAATTTTATACCAGAAAAACAGTCTCGCAGTGAGGTTGAAAATGTGTTCACTAAAAATATACAATGCAATATTAATTCACGAACAGACAAAATACAGTTGAAACGTGAGTAACTAGAAACATTCATTAAAACATTAATTCTATACAGATAGAAAAACATTTCCACTCTATCTCTCTCTCTCTCTCTCTCTCTCTCTGTTTGTCTGTCTCTCTCTCTCTCCCTCTCCCTCTATCTCTCTCTCTCTCTTTCTCTCTCCCTCTCTCGCTATCTCTCTCTTTTCTCTCTCTATCTCTCTCTTTTTCTCTCTCTCATTCTCACTCGCTATTTCTTCAGTCTCACAGTCTGGCATACACATGCATATATATCACAGCACATCATTATGACAGGTATGCTTTTGTGAATAAAAAATGCTTCAGCTGATTTTTGAAAATGGAAATTGTTGGGGCAGATCTTATTTTATATGGGATTTCGTTCCATACCTGGGGACCAAAGAACAAAAAGGAACGCTCGCCGTATGTTTTGTAGTTTTGTTTTGTAGTTTTACGAATTAGATTGTCAGAGGCTGATCTAAGGGCTCTAGGTGGATTATATAATTCCAGGAATGTTTTAAGATAAAAAAGTGCACTATCATTTATACATTTAAAACAGAGAACGGCAGTTTTGTATTTAATCCTTTCTTTTATTGGCAGCCAGTGTAGTTCTTTCAGAATTGGTGTTACGTGGGCTGATTTCTTTTGTTTCATTATCAATTTTGCTGCTTGATTTTGAAGTACTTGTAACTTTGATAGTTTTTCGGATGTCAAACCGGACAAAATAACATTACAGTAATCTAACTTTGATAAAATGAGTGTTGTTACAAGTGTCTTGGCTGCTGCTTTAGTTAAATAATTTCTTACACTGCCAATTTTCTTAAGCTGAAAGATATATATAGAGATCTATATAGCCTATGGAAGTGGCTATTCTCATCCGGGGTGAGAATAGAAAAACGATCTACCTCTCACCCCGGGTGAGAATTGCCAGCGTAGGCTATTCTCACCCGGTGCGAAACAAGACCTGCTTTTCCTCATTTTGGAATACTGTCTATCGGTGTGGATGATCCAATTGATAAAAGCCAAGAAAAAATTACGTTATAGCACAAAAGTAAGCTAATTTGATCGTCTTCAAAGATGCTATGGCTATTTCACTGTTCGAATCGAGCCGAACTACGCGGGTCGCCATTTTGTTTTGCGCGGAAGTTCTCGCAAGATCTACTCCTCCCCTATCTCTCTCTCTCTGTCTCTTTCTGAATACTGTCTATCGGTGTGGACGATCAAATTGACCAAAACAAAGTTAAAAAATGATGTTAAAACACAAAAGTAAATTAATTTGGTTGTCTACAAAGATGCTACAGCTATTTAACTTTTCGAATCGAGCCGAACTACGCGGGTCGCCATTTTGTTTTGACCGGAAGTTCTCGCGCTACTCCTCTCTCTCTGTCTTTCTCTCTCTCCACTGCCCACAGACAAAATTGTACGCTTTTAGTAGGCTAGGCTACAGTTGTAATGGAACGTTTGTTCACGGCACAGAATTCTACAATGTTTCTGTTATCGCAGTGTAGAATTCTGTGGTTTAGGGTGAACGCAAAATTTGTTGGCCTAGATCTAGGCTATAACGGTGAACGTGCACCGGGTGAGAATAGCCAAAAGACTCGCCTGCACTATATAGCCTATATATACGATCTTTGTCTCGGCCAAGATATCGATTGATAAAGTGACGCGGTCCAGCTGAGCAATTATCAAGGCGTGAGCATACTTTAAATATTAAATCTAGATCTAAATCTAATCTAGATCTAGATCTAGAGCTATACTAGATCTACTAACTTACTTTAAAGTAAGCCTCATCATTATAATTGTCATTCAAAGTCAAAGGGCCTACGTAGGGAGGGCCGTACGCATAGCCATGAGGCTATGAGTACGGGAGGGCCGTGCGGATAGCCACAGGCTATAAGTATATATTTATATATATGTATGATAAACTATAGGCCTACCACTAGTTGCTTGAAACGACTGGATACACACAAAAAGGACAGAACTGATGAACAGCAGCATAACATAAACGTTAGCCGCCATTTTAGATTTCCACTCGATCACATGACAACTGACAACGTAGGTTATAAATAGAATTTATTCTTCTTAACTCCTTGGATGCGGGTTGCTGTCGGTCTTGGGTTGCATGACAGCCAAAGCAGTCAATTTTGAATATTATTAAGACTACTTACTCCGTTCACCTTTTTATGGTTTTTAATAATTTGATTACATCAGATAGTGCGGTTTAACTTTTCGGGCATGAATAATGTTTCCTCTCACAAATGGATGCCTTTGCGTTTGCATTTGAGTAGAAAACTTTGTTTTTATACAAGGGACCTTCAATTGTTTCTAAATACTCTTGTAAGAGAAAGTGAACGTAACGGGTTATTGCTGAATGTAAAGAAAACAGAACGCATGGTAAAATTTTTAAAAAAAGCAGCAAATCCTTGTTGTAATCTCACTAGCAAAAGTGAAAAGATCAAACAAGTCCAACAGTTTAAATACCTTGAATATATGATAACATTTGATGCCAAATGTTCCACAGAAATAAGGCTAGTTTCAATACGAGTGAAATGAGCCCAATCCTGAAAAATATAAACATCCCAATGACTACCAAAATGATAGTTCTAAAATGCTAGGTATGGTCAACCCTTCTATACATGTCTGTGAATGCTGGACAATCACTAAAGACAGTGAAAATAAAATAGAAGCAATAGAAATGTTGTTTCTTAGGAGACTGCAAAGAGTATCGTGGAGTGAAAAGAAACCAAATGAGGCAGGACTTGAAGAAGACCACGTGGGACGCTCATTGGTAAAAAAACAACCAGGAAACGAAGATTGCAGGTTTTGGGACACCTGAATAGACATATTATATGGGTCTTGAACATCTAGCTCTCACTGGCAAAATTGAAGGCAAACGAGGCCGAGGTAGGCCCAGAGCAACATACTGGGTAACAGGGAAAGATCAGGGAAACGTATTTTTTTTAAAGAGCATCCGAGGGAAGGAATGAATGGAGAACCATGATCGCCGATGTCTGTCGCAGATCTGGCACTGGATGATGATGTTGAATATTATTGATATGTTAATGAGAGCCCGCAAGTGTATTAGGAAGGCTACGTGTGCGCATATATGTGTATGTTGTGTGACTGTGTGTGTGCGTGTGTGTGCGTGCAAGCGTTTGAGTGTTTGTTGTTGTTGTTGTTGTTGTTTGTAACTGAGTGTGAGTGCGAGTAAATCAATCTTGCTCTAGTTTTTTACCATTTCTTTTCATACTTGGATATTATTTGCCGCACGTAATTCTTTTCTGTGCACTGTGTCTTCGATTGTTTGTCGAACTACTTTTCCCTACAGAAGTCTCTGTTGCCCCCTCCCCCACCAGCCCCACTCTCCCTCCG